TCATTTTATTGCCCCAGACTGTTACTGATAATCTTTACAGATAATGAATTGAAAGGTTGATGAATTAGTGAATTATTTAAGACCTCGACGGACATCAGTTCAATTGACTAATTGCTAATGATTCACTCGAAACAATAATATTTGTTTCTATATGCCAAGTAAATTGGATATTTGCGGTAATTTGAGTTAATTACAGATTTGTTTATCAACAACAATGGGATGCACGCCGACTGGATAATTATGTTGCTAGGCGTAACTAACATTTTGGCTAGGCTGTGATGCTATGGCTCTATTACCAAGCTTATGTGGGATGATGGCGTGTGTGTGAATTCAACAATGAAGGTCATAAATATAGGTAGCTTAAAGTTCTAATGAAGCTAGGTGTATTTATAATCACCCTTACTTAATTTTGACTACTATGTGAAGAGTTTTCTTATAACATTTTTAAATGTACAATAAATAATTGCTATAACATGATGGTATCTATAATTCTGCCCGCAATTGTTATCTTATTTTAATGGATTACAAGGTTTGCGGCAATTTACGAGAGCATGCTATTATTATGGCCGCACCTGTGGATGGATATTTATGTTATGATTTTCTGTCTGACCCAAAAAAGCTAAACGGAAAAGGACACGGCAAGGCTATGGAAAGTTACCTACATAAAGTTGAGCTTAGATTATCTAAAGCCCGACATATTAACTAATTCATTTAAAATAGATTTATCTTTATATCTTTTATTTTCATCAAAGCTGTAGGAGTAACTTTTGTGTAGATGAAGATTTTTGCGAATATGCGTGTGCGCCATTATTTCGACCGACCACACCTGTGGGCGTATATTTATGCTACAATTTTAGGGTGTGGATGGGGTGTGTGTGTCGTTCAAGGAACTCTTAGCCGATTTACTTACGGCTCTCGCAGTACGGGCGCTATTTTGTAGAGACAGTCGAGGAATTGTGCATCCAGGCACCAGACACTCGGCTTCAGCGGCTGGCTGTGCACGTTGAGTATCCGGAAAAGGATGCAGACGATGACGGCGACCAGCGTCAGGAAGGCGGTGGACATTTCGCCGATTTTCTATACAGGATCCGAGGAAATCGGCAGCTGGCCTGCCTTATCATCAATCACTCGCCACTTATCCTTCACTTTCTCCGCCTCTCTCGCTGTGTTTCTATGTTTGTCTGATTTTAGTCGGGCTTATTTGGATTCGTTTATATTTTGTCGTGTGGCAAATATATGTGAACACTTCACGGAAACCGAATTTTGTTTAAAATTGTGCGACAGAACAGCTTGCGCCAGCTGAGTTTTTTTTTTTAATTTGGAGTCCGATTGGACCGTACTGCAGAAGCGGAAAAATCCTATAAAAACATGCCATGGCAGCTGGTCATACTTAAATCGATAAAAATCTTTGCAAATCAGTTAATTTGAATAATTTATTTATTAAATTAAATTTAATTGAATTTAGCATGAACATTGGCATCGTTCCTATGGCAGCTATATGATATAGTAGTCCGATTTCCATAAAATTATACACCAAATTGTAGAATAATAAAAAATAGCTATATTTCTAATTTGATAAAAACCTGTTGAAAACTGAAAAACTAACAATTTTTAATTGTATTAATTTCTTGATCGTTCCTATGACAGCTTTATGATAAAGTAGTCCGATTTTCATTAAATTCTACACCAAATTGTAGAATAATAAAAAATATCTATATTTTAAATTTGAAGAAAATCTGCTGAAAACTCAAAATGTTATAATTTTTAATTGTATTAATTTCTTGATCGTTCTACGGCAGCTATATGATATAGGAGTCCGATTTTCCTTAAATATTAAACCAAATTGTAGAACAATAAAAAAATAGCTTTTTTTTAAATTTGAAGAAAATCTTTTGCAAGCTGAAAAAATTATAGTTTTTAGTTGTATTAATTTCTCGATCGTTCCTATGGCAGCTATATGATATGGTAGTCCGATTTTCATAAAATTTTACACCAAATAGGATAAAAAGGCTATATCTCAAAATTTATTAAGTTCTGTTGAAAACTGAAAACATATATACGAGTGAGAGTATATAGAAGACTAACTACAAAGTTTCATTCAGATAGATTTAAAACTGAAAGACTAGTTTGCGTAGAAACGGACAGACGGACATGGCTAGATCGACTCGGCTGTTGGTCCTGATCAAGAATAAATATACTTTATATGGTCAATGGTGATTCCTTCACTGCGGTGCACACTTCTGACTGAAATTATAATACACAAGTTGTATATGTTAACAAAAGATTAAATAAATTTAAAGCCAGTTGTGAAAAAATACTTTCTTAAATTAAAACCCATTAAATAAATTGCTATAATTGTCTAAATAAAGCAGCAGCCCATAAAGGATAATTTCTTAATTTAAATGTTACAATAACTTTATTTTTCCTTTAAAGATTATTAATACATAGTTTAAAAATAACAAAATTCTTAAAAGCAGTTTAAAAACAAATAAATTTAATTCAAAATTTCGTAATAAAAATTATTAAAGAACCTTTTAGTTCATTTTTTTTTTTTTTTTTATGAAAACCCAATAAATAAAATTCGTGATTTGGAAATATTAACCCTGTAAATAATCCATCAAGAAGGGTTTATCATCCGCAGAATATGGAGTCAATGGAACATCATAGGGTAGTGGGAAAGCGGGTACACCATCCCGATTATTTCCCAAGGGAAATGTGTCTTCGCCAGTCTGTAAATTAAAACCCATTTGGAATTTAATACAATTTTAAAAATATTTACGAACTCACCACAAATCTGGGTAGAAAGAGGACACCAGCTTCATAATTGGCTATCCTGAGACAGGGCTGAATATTGGAGTTTTTGTTGAAGCAGCCCCAGGCAGCTTTCGAGAGATTCGCAGAGGTCAAAACGAACCAATATACAGACTGCTCCTCTAAATTATAACGTGTATAGCTTTTAATGTGTGGCATGGCCCTGGAACGATACCGATCACTGGATTTCCATTGCTGCAGATGCTCCTTAAGCCACGGCTGCTTGTCATTGGTATTCTTTCCATAGGGCAGGCATCCGCCGCCCAACATTCCATCGTGACTGCCCGAGACATTCCCATAGCTAGGATATATCATCTTAAATGGCGGCATTTGCCTTAATTTACCCAACGGTGAGGAATCCCTTTTCAAGCTATTGACAAAGTCCTGCTGTATCCAGGCCTGTACATTCGCACCCAGACTGCCAATGCTTGAACTCTGACAGACTACAGGTATCCGATCATTGATCGGAGCTGCATGTTTGGCCAATAGCGCTCCCAGGCGAGCATGACCCCAAGGGTGACCACGCACGGTACTCTCACGATGGCCTCCAGGCACAGAACCCAAAAAGAACACGTTGATTGCGCTAAAGTCACTCTTTCGGATTCGCGCTATCCAAGGCTGCAGTTGGCTTATCTTGTACTCCACCAGATATAGCATCAAGTCCTGCTTAAATCCCGTTTCGCTTTCACCTGCTCCGGTATCAGCATCTTCTGGCAGTGCCGGCAGCTTCGGACTTATCCACACGCCCTGCGTGCGATTGTGCCAATCGTCCTCGTACAGATTCGCTGTGGAGATGACCACACGCATGGATCCATCAGTGTAGGCTAGCAGCATCATCTTGGTGTGTGAAGTGGCAAAGGGCGTGGGCATCTTTACCCCAATGGCCGTGACTTGTGGTTTAAATTTGCCAATGCTCAGAAGTTCAGGAGACTCGTCGCCATAGAGGACCAAAAGGGGTTTGTCGCTGAAAAGAAAACATATATTAATTCTCCATAATTATACGAAGCGCAGTATTACTCACAGTATACCGGCAAAGTAGTAGTGTCCAAGAAGCCAGCCAATATCCACCATAAAGTTGATTTGCACACTGCTCTCGATCTCGCCCAGACTTTCGTCGAGGATTTCCTGGAGTGTCACACTTAAGGACTCCGAGTGCGTGGGCTTCGAGTCAGTAATCGCGGTAAGGAACATGTTGTAAGGAGCTGCCTCCTTCAGCTTCTTGGCCATTCCTCCTTTTTCCACTACCACAGGAATATAATCCCTGATGTTTCGCTCATTTAGCTTTTGTTTCTTGGCCAATTTGGAGGTGTCTTTGGGAGCAGACGATGAACTGGCAGCCTGGGAAGTTGAGGAACCCGAAGCATAAGTGCTCGAGGAACCAGAACTGGAGGATCCATTGCTAGATTGAGCAGCAACTGGTGGGTTTGCACCAGAAACATTTGCCTGCTTCTCCTTTTTGGCACCTTCTTTTGGAAAGAGCTTCTCGAGCAACTTTAATTGGGTTTCAATCAGGTCACTTGAGTACTTGGCAGGTATATCATAGTCCCCCGATGCATTTCCTTTGCGATAAATTGCATCCACTATAGGAATTGCAGAATATAATTAATCTTTTTGTTCTCCTTTTTGTTTTTGCTTGCTTACAGTGTTCATGGGAAAACTCGCCAAAATGGATAGGGTTCTTCCTGTAACATTTCTCGCCATACGGACACTCCTTCATGTTGAATATTAACTTTAATTACTTGACCTAAAATCTGTTGAGCCTGATAAACAAATTAAATTAACAAAACAATTTCACAAATGGTAAAAACAATGCGCGCTTAGCAGTGTGAACGTCGGCTTTGCGGTTAAATTTAAGGATTTACAATTTTTGGTAACTGGTCACACTTAAATCTTATAAACCTATGACGACGCTGCCAGACAGTAAAGAAAAATAGTTTTATTTACGTTTGCAGCCATTTTACACTCATAAAACTTTTCAAACACGATACGTCTACAACAGCTCTTCCACAACAATCTTAAAAAGCCAAGTGAAGGTATTTTAAAAGCTTTTCCCTGAACCTGTGCTGCCACTCTTTTCAGGAAATCTATCGCGATATAAATATTTACATTTCTTGTGATATCGATATATTTCTCACATCTCTAGTTAGTTTGTATGTGCATTTTCGTGATAAACATTTTTGAAAAAACTAATTTTATGGACAATTGCAGTGCCTAAACACAGTCAAAATGACAAAATAAACCCTCAGGAAGTGCTCACCGCCACGCGTAAGTAGTTCGCATCGAGTTTTCACCAATTTTTCCCTGAAGAAAAGACAACTTTTGAGTGCAATTACGTTTGGTGAAAGAGAAGAGAAAAATATGTTTCCTTGTATTTGTGCTACGCTGCTGCTGGTGCTTCTTCGTTGCGACCGCCGCACTATTGTTGTTGTTTTTGTTGTGGCGGTGGGGCAAAAACGTTAATGCTGTTGTTGTTCCCTGCAGGGACGATCACAGTTTTATTCTCAGACTCAGTTTTATGCTGCAATATATAAGTATATTTGTGTATGTTTGTGTCTGGTGGCCTATGCGTATTGTGTATGTATGTATAAGTGTGTGCGCGCCATTAATTGAACAAAAAAAAAAAGAACGGGAAAAAAGTGGCATTGCTTATAAATATACACACAATAAAATTATATTTTTTATTATGTTTTGAAAATACTTGAAATGCACACAAACACACGCAAATCTCTTCCAATTTCCACTTGAGCCTCTGCCGATGCCAGCGTCGCTGCCGGCAGCACAGGTGCGGGTGCGCGGTTATATTGGTCTCAAGTGCAGAACCAAACAAATATACATATATACAAATGGGAAATGAAAACAAATAACAATCAAAATGCGGTGCACATTTCGGTGAATAATCGAGTTGGATGAGAACTTTGCTCTCTTTTTCTCACCTTTATGACTCAGCGTCTCGCCAACGCGCATCGTTGATAATTGGAGCTTTGCTCTCTTCACTCCTCATATCTGACTTTCTCGCTCTCAGGCCCCCTCTTTTCAAACGGTAAATAATAAACAGCACGCCCGGCTGGGCAAATCTTATCAGAAATTTCACTGCCCACTTTGGGATGCAAAGTTCCCAATTGGGCAAAAAACAGGGGACTAAAACGGAAATAGTTTGTTTTTTATTGCGAAATGTTTGTTTTGGGATTGTTTTTAATGTTTTTTTTAAGATGGTTTCTTCTAAAGTTTATATTTAATTTTTTTTTAAATTCCCTTATATGAATAATAAATATTTATATATTTATCAAATTTTAATATAATTAAATTTATGAAAATCTACTGCACTTTTACATTATTACTTCTTGTATAAAATTTACTTGTACTTTTCACTTTCAGTCGCAATTTGTCGAAATCTTTCCATTTATTAAAAGTTGTTTAAACTATTTGCTTAGAGTTTTTGTTGAGTTCTTTGCTGCTCACGTGTGTGTATATTTGTGCGCTTATCTACGCTACGGTGTTTTCGCTGCGCTTCTATTTTATTATTGTTATTTTATTTTATTTTTGTTATCAGCAGCAGAGGCAGTGGCAGCGGCAGAGGAAAAATCAAAAGAGGCCGTGTGCAAGCAATTGAAATGGCTGAAAGGGGCGTCGCAGGAGAAACAGAGGTGTCAAGATTTTTGCTTAAAAAATGTGTTCTTAGTTTAAGCTTAAAATTTTAAAATATTAAGCCAGAAAATAGGAATAAAAGGGATATATTGGAGAGAGATTCTTTGAAGATATGTCCTATTTGTATATGGAAATAGTAATTATTATTATTATTACTTTTATTATTTACTTTTATTTTATTGTATTTTCAAGTTTCTATACGTTTTTATAAGCCGTTGATTATTCTTTTGAAAGTCTTAAGATTTTTAGCAATATTAAAATCGTAACTACTTAGACACCATTTTTATTCTTAAGAGGCATTTTTCTTGTTAGGAAACATAATTTTTTAAGAGGTACACACTACTATCAATTGCTTTATAGAATATACAATGGGTTTTAGTTCCTGTCTTCAAGCTTAGTAAACAGAGTTCTTAGTTAATGTATTAATTTTCTTACATTTGACGGAAAACCCGCCACAATGACAGCTCCTTCTGCAGTTAGTTGCATTAGCAAATCTTTTTCCTTTTGTCGAAGGGAACTGAAGCGAAGCGCGACACAAGACGAGAAAATTTGCTTGCAAAATGTGTGTGTGTGTTGTGTGTTGTGTGTGTGTGTTGTGTGTGTGCACTCAATTCCACTTGGCGAACACCGCTCGACATGTGGGTGGGGTTTGATTTTTCTAGTGGTTCCGAACTGGGTTCTATTTGGTTTGGTTTTATTCCCTTTTGTTTGCGGTTTGTTTCTTTCTATGATTTGATACAGTGAACACCAAGGAAAATGAGAAAAATGATTCGTATCTTTATAACAATGTATTGAATTAGTGAAATAATGAAACCTTTCAATCTCTTTTAAAGTATAACCAATTATCTCTATAATCTTAACTCCACGCAACAATTAATATTGCAATCCTATCGCTTATAGATTATAATTACAAGTCTAAATCACTTTAGAATCATATTGATAAGAACCTAAATCTTTTTTTAAAAAAAGCTGAATCATTTTAAAACTAATCTGATTGGTGACTTGACCACCCTATCTTTCTCTGGGGTTTACAGTCCGATTTCTGTTTCAGTGGTGTTAATTCCCGAGGCAAGATAATATATTCATAATTGAATATCTATATTTTAACTCCAGAAACAATTAATATTGCAATCCTATCGCTTATAGATTATAATTACAAGTCTAAATCACTTTAGAATCATATTGATAAGAACCTAAATCTTTTTTAAAAAGCTGAATCATTTAAAACTAATCTGATTGGTGACTTGACCACCCTATCTTTCTCTGGGGTTTTCCAGTCCGATTTCTGTTTCAGTGGTGTTAATTCCCGAGGCAAGATCCATAAATCATTTTGTTTAAAATCGCCGCAAGAAGTTCCCAATAAAAGTAATGGCTAGTCTGAAGTTACGCCCCCGATCCATAGGTTTTTTCTCTCGGTTCTGACACCCACACATCACAAAAAGACAGTAGGTTTTATGCTTAACAGCTATTCTAATTTATGTTGCATATTGTTTAGTTCAAAATTTACCTTTTTACTTCAAATGAAACCCCCTTCAAGTTGCATTTACCGCCCAGCGAATTGATTGGCAATTCAAATTTGCCAGCCCGAAAATTAAGTGCGCAAAGTAAATATTTCAATTTAGGCATAAACCGAGGAAAAACTGCATTTCATATATGGGCAATTTGCATATGACGGTGGCTCTGGTGGCTCCAAGTAACTGGCGGTTTGGTGGCTTTGGCTGGATCAGCCTACGCACCACCGAAAAAATAAAAAATATAAATAAAAAACGTTGCAAATGCAGACGGCCGCCTCTTGAAATGAGCTTCAAATGGTTTGTCTAACAAAACTGCTGCGTTTTGCCAGCTTGCCAAATAATTATGTTATTAATTGGATTTATGCGCAGTTTGTGCAACATGCAACATGCAAATTTTCATGTCCGTAACTCAAGAAAATAATAAAAAACCAAAATCAAAAGTGATCAAGTCATTATAAACGCCAACCCCTCGGTTACCCCTTTTAACTTGATATGTCAGCAATTATAGTTTGTGGAACGAAAATATAGTTATAAATAAATAAGTGTAATAAATGTTTTTAAAGAGTGGCGTTAAATTTGGTTAATTAAATTTTGTTAATAAGAAAAATAACGTACAGTCATTATAATTAGCAAGGTTTTGTAGTTGATGAATTTATTAGAATATTTTAAATGCGTTCAAGAAATATGTGTGGTAAAATTTAATTAAATAGTAGTTCTTTGTGAAAGAGTCTGCTGATTTGTATACCTTTCCAGGGTTTTATAATGTCAGTAAAGAGCTTGTAAGGATGTGAAGGAGTCATTTCTGACCCTATAAATCATATATATTCTTGATCAGCATCAAAAGCCGAGTCGATCTAGCCATTTACAGCAAAAAAAAAAAATTAAAATTTATTTTTTCAAAATTTTCTTGTTATTTACATTTTTTTCAAATTAAAAAAATTGGCAAAAATTTAATTTTTAAAATATTTAAATTGAGTATGCAGATTTGTTAACCTGACAAAAACTAACATAGGACAGCTTTCCGATTGAAAATTAATGGATTTTTGACTTAGTTATGAGATTTTTAAGTTTTAATATATCGAAAAAATGGTCTTATAAAATATCGATGAATATTGATTTAAAGATTCCGAATATTTTAAGCTTAGTTATGCTCGATTTTCGATACGATCCTTTAATGCAGTTGCAAACTGCAAAGGTTCATAATTTACGGCTTCCCAAACTTTGTTTCATTTCTTGTTTTTATTTAATAATTCTACAATATAAGTCTAAAATACCTTATATTCTCATAATTTAGGTTTTTTCTCATATTTAACGCTTAAAAAATAGGTTGCTTTACACAAAAACATATTAGTTTCTCTCAAAATTTCTCAATTCCTTACAACTCCGAAACGGACTGTACAAATCTCCTAACGTCTTATCGCCGTCAACTAATTTTAAATCTATCGAAAGCGTGATTTACGCTTTTCAGTTTTCAGTATTCCGCACTATATTTTTTTCTCCATTTTTTTTTAGCCAGTGTCAGTGGGCGGCTCCCCTTCTTGTTATTTTTTCTGATATCCATATAAATATTTTTGTTCCCCTCAAAATCCTCATGCTCTTGATCTTCTTGTCGCGATAATCCGTTCCGCGCAATGGTAATAAAACGACAAGAAATAAAATAAAAAAAAATATTGTCAACACGAATTTGAACTTATTTTTAGACCCTGTCGCAATAGGATTTCCTCTTTTATTGTTATAATAACCGGCAACAACTTTATTAAGAAGTGCTTGGAAGCAGATTCCTATCAGCGATTGGCATTTGGCCCCACAAAAAGAAATCCCAAACTTTGTGGCTTTTTAAATCACAGATCAAAAGGAGTCGTTGTTTGTTTGAAACCGAAGAGAAAGATACTCTATAATTTAGGGAAATCTAAAGAAAGGGAAAGCTAATCTAAAAGAAAAGTATTATTGACCCTTATTAACCTCAAATCTATCATATCTTTTTTTTTAATCATATCTTAGGAAAGTAAAGGAAACTTGCTAGCTAAGAATATATTCAAGTGAGATAACAATCCTCTTAAAACCCCATAGTTTTCAACTAATTGACTCGTGCCATTCTAAAACCCT